GTGTTTGAAGCTGTTGGATTTCAGCTCACTTGAGTTACAGTAAATCAGGAACTAGTATAGGAAGCAGAGTTTAAATTGTCCAGAAAGGCCAGGTTGATAAGTTGCTTGTTACAGTGAAGATGTGGACAAACCTTCAGTAAAAGTCAGTTCCTCTCCTTGCAGCCCCATTTTCTGGGTGCTTTGCTGAGGTGTGCTGTGCCCCATGCCTGTGCTTTGGTCCTGAAGAGAAATGCCTGTAACTGGATCTCACTTTAGCAAGGAGAGGGGAACAGGCTGTTGAAGTTTTTGAGGTGTGTTTTTCATTCTGCTGCCACTGATCAGAAGGATTGCAGGGGAGGATCTCCCCCAAAGGCACGTGCCTGCCTGGTTTCACAGTGCTGTTCTCAGCTCCACAAGGTGTCTGGATGTGAAATTGCTTTGGCTATGTGACTGAGGAAAATGGAGATGAAAAGTGTAGTCTGTGAGTAAGATGAGAACAATCTCAGCCTGATAAGATCACTCTTAAAGCTGTTGCAAGACACATTCAGTTGTGTGTCTGTATCTTCAGTAGTGCTGCATGAAAAGGTAAATCTGAGAGTGCTGTAAGATCTTTAAAAGTCCAAGCTGGCAGGTGACTCATTCAGGATCATTCTGCTCTTCCTTTAGTGAGGTTCTGCCCGGGTCAGACTCCTTTGTCCCCAGTTCAGTGTGCTGGCTCTGCCTTGCCACTCGGGTGTACAACCAGCTGGTTGTGAGGGGCCAGGAAGGTTCAGACAGGAGAACAGAAGGTCCTGATTTGGTGAAGGCTGAGGAAGATGTCACGGGTCACACAGCTCCTGAACTGCAGCTCGAGCTCCATGAGTAGTCTGTGGTTCAGTTCTCCCCTCTGCTTGCCATAAAATTATTTCCTTAACGTTTTGTGGCTGCTGAACCCGTGGGTGGGGTTGAGGCTTCTCAAATACGTGAGATTATATATAATACAATAACACTCTTGCTGAAAGGTGTTCTTTGAGAAGGACTGTGCAGATCTGGCACTGGAGAGCTCGCCTAGCCCATGCAGTTATGATTCAGCTTTCACTGGTTTGCTGTTGTGATTAATAGTGACTATCTCCTTTTGCTCTGAAATAGGTTTTCAGTTTCATTTCTGGGAGTGTTTCTGTGAGGTTAGGCAAGCTGCAAGTGAAACAGTCACTGAGATATTACTATATTTATGTTTCAAATGAAGCTGCTGTTTGAGAGTCATCTTGAACTATAGTGAAGGCTGAATTAAAATGCATAACTGAAAGTACTTTAGACAAGCTGATTACTTTTTAATTGCCTTCACTTTATTTAGGCTTTCTTGTGTTAAATGAAGGGCTCTTAGGGTAACAGGTTGATTTGGTTACTGCCAGGGAAGTCTCCAGTGCTACACTGAGAGGGTTTTGCAGGGTATTTGTTGGGGGTGGGAAGAGGAAACCCCAGAGACTCAGGGGCACAGGCCATCTCCTGACTCTGCAGCTGCCATGCTTCAGCATGGGCATTGTTTGGCAAATTCTGTGTGTGCCTAGGACAGATCTGGCCACTTTCTAGGAGTCTTGGTGGACAGCAAACACAGTGTGATGTGTTTGTGTGTGATCACAAGTGACAAAGTTCGTGTGAGGTTTGGGTCCCAGCAGGATGTGGCAGCAGACCATGAGTGCTCCAGGCCCTGCAGATGAGGAGGAGATGGGGCTGCCTTAATGGCCTGGTGCATCCTTCCAGACTGACCAGAAGGGTGAATCTGGGCTTTATTCTGCCTTGCTTAAGGGAAGTTTATTTATATAAAGCATTTATGGTTGTATTGCTGTAATATTTTATATGTGTGATTCTATTGAATGAATTTCCTGAGAATGTGTCAGGGAGGGAGCTGAATGGGCACCTTCTGTGGTAGCTGAGGTGATGGTCCTTCAGGTTACACCCTGAGCTTTAGAGTAAGGGTAACCCATGTTAAGAAAGCAGCAGTGCTGTGTGACAGGGTCGTCTCTTGTAAGGTTACCAGTTATCTGTCGTGATGATTTTCTGTGAAGTGCGTAAAGCTCAAATCTGTGTCCTTCCCCTTGGGCACCCCCTTGCCATGATGCCCTGCAGAGCTGCCAGGGAGCAGTTGCTGGGCATGAACACTCATTGCTGTGAGATTTCCGTGTGGCAGGAGTCCTGCAGTGTGACTCGCCAGCTCTCTGGAGACCTCACACTTCCCAAAGAACTCTGAGATCCTGTGTGACTCTTTTATGGCTCTGATTCACGCTGGATTCATGCTGAATCAGAGCAGCTCTATCTGGGGAGAGCTCAGCAATTAAGTTGCCTTCTCTTCCCGTAAGGTTGTAAAGCCAAGCCCAGCCCTGGGTAGCAAATGTCAGAACTAAGGCTGCCTTTCAGGCTTGGTTGTGGCTGCTCAGATGTGTACGTGCTGATGTCATTTTTAATTACACGCTCACTTAAAGATTCCTGCCTGGCTCAGTGAACAGGGTGTGATGCTCAGAGGGTTCACTCAGAGTTGGTGCTCAGAGGAAGGGTGGACAGGCAGTATTTTTTGTTTTCTTCTTTGCTGTGTGGCCTGTGTCTGCCCTAAAGCTGATTCCTCCTGGGTTATTTAGCTTGGTCCCAGTACATACCTGTAAGGTGTCATTGCACCACTGATAACTGTGAAGTGATGTTATTAAGGAGCGAGGCACAGACTGAGTGGTGCTTGTTAAGCATTGTGATGTTGTGTGTGGAAGTGAGAGCATCTTTTGGCATTCATGTGACTCATTCCAGTCAGGTCTTCCCCTGGCTCCAGCTGATGGCTGCTTGGGCTGGGGCTCTAATAACACCCTCAGGGTTTCCTCTGTGGCATCCCCTGCCCTGGGGAAGAGCTGCTGGGCCCCCTCCAGAAGGACCTTGTGTTTGCCCTTCTGCCCTGGCCCTTTTTCCCCAGAGCACCAGCAGGCAGGGCTGGGCCAGACACAGCTTAGCTGTGAGTCATTGCCCATCAGCAGCTCTCCCCAGCATCCACTGCAGCAAAACTAGGGAAGTAGGTGAGGTGTGTGCAGGCAGAGCTTGCACCTTGCCCTTCAGCTCGTGCTCCTTGTCTTGTGTCCCCAGCTCTCTTAGCCCAGGTGCTGGGGCTGCCCTGCCTCCCCAAACTTGGGAACAGGATTGCAAAGGGGTGGCTCGTCTGTCATGGCTCACGTGTGCCTTGCAGGCTTGAGCCCTCGTGTGTCTGGGGCACTCAGGATACACCCTCCATAACTGAAAAGATTTTGTGGGAGAGGAAGTGCTGGAGTTTGTCATTTAGGGACGTGACAGTGGTGCCCAGGAGGTCCTGCTGCCCCCAGGTCTGGGCTCGGGCAGGCTCCTGGCAGTGCCTTTACTAGCCCCAGCTGACTCATTTATGCTGGAGTTTGTCATGCAGGGACGTGACAGCGGTGCCCAGGAGGTCCTGCTGCCCCCAGGGTCTGGGCTCGGGCAGGCTCCTGGCAGTGCCTTTACTAGCCCCAGCTGACTCATTTCCTCTCACAGCAAAGGCTGTGTTGCTCAGCAGCCGTGGAAAGAGCAGGGTCTGGCTGGGAGGGGATTTGGCAGGGAGCTGTGCTCAGCACCCCCGGGCAGGAGGTGTGCTTCTGCCAGCGCAGCTCTGGTGCCTGCTGGCACTGCTCTGCTGGGTGAGGGCTGTGCTGCAGCTGTGACAGCCCTGCTGCCCAGGGTGTTCTTGGATGTGTCACATTAGATGTGTGTCCACTTTCTTCAGTCATTTGCTCGTTTGGTTTCATTGATGCATGCTTTGTAGTGAATGAAATTTGGACACCTCTGATTATGCAGCAAAATCATCTCTGCCATTAAGTTTCCTTAGGTCGTTAATATATTTAAAGGAGAGTTTAAATATATTATTTCTGTATTTTGCCCGTGGCCAAGGAGTGCTCCATGGGCTGCAGGTGGATCTCTGCTTCCCCAGGGCCATCTCTGCCCATCCTTCACTGACCTGGTGTGTGCACAGCTGTTCCTTGGCACAGCCTCACTCCTCTCTCCATAACCTTGTCCCTTCCCAAACACTTTATCCCAGCAGTGCTGGTGCCCTGGGCCGTGGCCAGCAGTGGATCCGCCCTGGAGCTGCCCAGGATTGGCTCCACAGCAGAGCCTGGCACACAGACCCCAGGCTAAGGAGCAGCAGTGGGCCGAGGGCAGCTCTGCTCTGGGGTGCAGAACCTTGGAGAGCAGTACCCTGGAGCTGCCCAGGATTGGCTCCACACCAGAGCCTGGCACACAGACCCAGCAGCAGTGGGCCGAGGGCAGCTCTGCTCTGGGGTGCAGAACCTTGGAGAGCAGTGTCACCCCTGTGGCCTGAGTTCAGGGTCCTCCTTACCACGGGCTGTGTGACCTTGGCTGTGTCACCGAAGCTCTCTGTGCCGTTGTTTCCCATTACTGCAGTGGGCAGAAGGAAATCTCCCTGTTTTGCTGTCTGCTTTGAGGAGAAATGTGCCTGCAATTACAAAGTGCTGAAATTCCTTGGTGGTGGAGGTCACAAGTACAAAGGATGCTATTGCTGCTGACAAAGCCCACTTCAATTAACTTCAGATTAACCTACTAATGTTATGAAAGAGTTTTATTTGCTTTGAAAGGTATTTTTAAAGCTCTGAGTGAGTCAACTGCTGTCAAGCGTCTCATGGTGTCATTTTGTAGAAACTTCCAAATTTTTACACTATAAATCATATAGACAAGTGCTAATTAGAGCTCTATAATACTGTGTCTACCTTTGAGGGAACAGAGATTTCCTTTCATTTTACTGCATGCCATAACATGTGGCCTGTCAGCCTTCTGGAATGTTTATTTGGGGATACCTTGATTCTGCTTGTAAAACCCAGGCTAAATATGGGAATAGCTTTTTTGTGACATTGAAATATTGTCATTCAAAAAGTAGTATTTTCAGAGTTTTGCCCAAAATGTGACCTGTAAAATGACTGAAATTACTCTAACTTTTTTTCTTTGCAAGATTTCTCAACTGAAAATATGTTTTCTGATTGTTTCAGGAGTAAAAGTTCCTCGTAATTTTCGTCTTTTGGAAGAACTTGAAGAAGGTCAGAAGGGAGTAGGGGATGGAACAGTTAGCTGGGGCCTTGAAGATGATGAAGATATGACACTTACGAGATGGACAGGAATGATTATTGGGCCTCCAAGAGTAAGTATCCACTTAGATACTAAAATAGTACTGGTACATTTTTTCCCCCTTCTAACCTCACCACTGAAGTAAAAAATAAACAAAAGGCAAATGAGCAAAAAAACACTTTAAGAAGTGATTTATGTTGAAGTTCTTTGTAATAATGGGTTTCATGTGTTTATATGGCTTTTTGCTTATAATTTGAAACATTTTGGTGCCTTTCCCTGGTTAGTTGTTACTTGTCTGCTTTACATTTGCAGATTCATTAAGACATAACTTTTGAGATCCCAAATTCTAATATCCTGTGCCCTTGAATCCAGCAAGGGTCAGAGTCCCTCAGCTGGGGGGGTTACACATGGAGCTGCTCAGGTGCCAGGGGATGCTCTGTGCTGGCTTTTCTGCTCCTCCTGTTCAGTTTGTGGGGTGCTGTTTATTGCAGCAGTGCTGATGAGCTCTTGTACAATTTCAGCTGACTGAGGAAACTCAAATTTTAGTGTTTTCAGTCTCTTCTCTGAATGTCCTCTCCCAAAGCAGCATCTAATAATGCAGTTAGTCTTTGTGGGAGTATTGTTGTGCTCTCATTTCCCCCAGCCCTGCTGAACTGTGGGCTTACACTCTAGTAGTGATCCTGGGGACTTCATTGTGTGTTGAGTGTGTGCACATGTTCTAAAACCAGAACTTGTCTCCAGTTTCACTGTCCTATTTCCTTAATAACCTCTGATGGAGTGCAGGTAGCCAGTTCTCCTCCCTGCAATAGCAGATGTCTTCTACATGTGGCCTAGTGTCATTTCCCAGTAATTCAGGGGTCATTACATGGAAATCTTTACAGACCTCTAATCATGTTCCTGCTCTGTTCCCATTCTGTCAGTTGCCTCACCCACAGTGAGGAGTGTGTGTTGTGAAGGCATTATACATGCAGTGTTTTCTGTCTCACCCAGAAGTGTTGTTTACTTGTTGTCTGCCTTTGCTAATCTCTCCCCAGTCACGAGCATTTCATTTGTTTATGATGTACCCAAATTGTTTTCTAGAACAGCATTTGATTTTAGAACATTAGGAGAGTGCTAATGAGCCTGCATTAAGGCTGTGAAGAAAGCTCAGTGTGTGCCCAGGGTTTATGGAAAATTTAAACAACCTTGAAATCTAATTTAGAAAATTAAATAGTAATTGAAATGTGCAAACAGGAGCGTGCAGCCTTGCCAGCAGTGATGGAAGTTTGCAGTTCTTGTCGTGCTGCAAAGCAAGGCTGCAGGACCATCACAGCAGAGGAGTCAGCTCTGCCTCTCCTGTTTTTCTGACACACCTAGGAAGATGGATCTTCTTGCCAACTATGTTGTGACTTCTTTTGAGCTTCTTGCTTGAAGGCAGCAGATTGCATTGGGAGAGATCCTGGGGACTTGCAGCCAGTCCTGTTTGCTGTCCTCCTTTTAACACTGCTCAGATTCAGTTATTCCCATTTTGGTTCCTAGTAGGATGTGGAAATACTGGCTGGGGACAAAAGCTGAGTCCTGTTTCCCTGTGGCTTGTAGCAGGTGGGAGGATGCTGTGCTGGATTCCAGTGGGGAAAAGGAGCTGTGCAGAGCCCTGAATTGCCTGGGTGTGCATTCCCAGGCCGTGGGTGGTGTCCCACAGCCAGGAGTCTCCTTGCTGGCACTGCTCAAAGCCAGTGGCACTGTCAGAGCCTCAGCTGCCCTGCAGGGCTCTGTGCTGGCTGGGCACAGTGGCTCCCAGTGTGGGGGGGTTCCACAGACCCCAGAGCCCTGCGTGGAGCTCAGGGCTGCTCCCTGCACCAACACCAGCAGAATTCTTACCCTGGAGGAACACTTGATACTCTGAATATTGTAAAATGAACTCAAAACAGGGAGCCAGGACAGTATCTGCTTGGCTGCCCACACTTCTGGTACTTCCCATGTTCCTAAAGTAGCCACTGCTTTAACCAAATGCTTCTTGAACTGCCTGATGTAATTGTTTCCCCCTTTCTTTTCCCCTCAGACAATTTATGAAAACAGAATATACAGCCTTAAAATAGAATGTGGGCCTAAGTATCCAGAAGCACCTCCATTTGTAAGATTTGTAACAAAAATTAATATGAATGGAGTAAATAGTTCTAATGGAGTGGTAAGTTTTTTGCTTTTATTCATTTTAATGTTGTTGTTTTGTGCAGCTCCAGTGCTTTGTTTATACTTGTGGCTTGCTTAGCTCCTCATTTTTTGTGGTGCCCTTTGTTGGAGAAGGAAAGGGGGTAGAAGGGAAGTGGACAAGTGGAGATTTATTATGATTTTTGGAAAATGCTTTTGATTTCTGCCACTCAGATTTCATGTGGGATCTTTAGCTGGGGGTGGGGGGAGTTATGTGTAACCAGTGCACCAATTCTGACAGGAATGGTTTTTTGTCTGTTTTAGGTGGACCCCAGAGCCATATCAGTCCTAGCAAAATGGCAGAATTCTTATAGTATCAAAGTTGTTCTGCAAGAGCTTCGGCGTCTAATGATGTCTAAAGAAAATATGAAACTTCCTCAGCCACCTGAAGGACAATGTTACAGCAATTAATTAAAAAAAAACAAAACCAACATGCCCCCCCTTATTCAATTTAAGCTGTCTTCATTTTCCACAGTAGTAAATTTTCTAGATGCATCTTGTAGACCTCAAAATACTGGAAAGGAAGTTCCCATTCAAAGGAAGTTTTTCTTGAGATACTGTAAATGATACTAATTTTTTTTTTTCATTTGAAATATAAGTTGTGCTATAACAAATAATCCTGTCGTGTAACCACTGTCCACATAGCTGAACTTCTGGTATCAGGAAAAGTCTATTTAAATTTATTACTGTCAAGACCAGTGTGGCACATCCAACTTAACTGTGAAAGGATCCATCCCACAATCACCTTGCTGTGTGTCTGGCCTGGGTTATTTTTTTCTTTCTCTGTCTTTTGCAATAGAGTCGAAGCTCAGGGCTATTTATTAGAGTAGACACAAAGGTTTTTGCTTCCAGTACTACACTGGGCTGTATGGACTACTACTGGGGATGTGTGCTAACCTCAGTCATCCCTCCCTTTGTGCTCGCTCTAGTAAAGGCTGAATGTGACTGTGGTCGTTTTTGGGTTTTTATTATTTTTTAAATGCCCTGATAATCTGGGGCAAGCTTTCCTTCTTTCCTTTGGCCAAGGCATAGATTGTATTTCTCTTCCTGGTCTCCCTCACCAGTGACGTGAGCTTTGGGTGAGGGATTCAGGGTTCTTTTTATCTCTTCCCTCTTCCCCTCCTTTTAGTGGGGGTGCTGCTTTCTTTTGCCCCTCTTGGTGACTCTTCTCACCCCTGGCCCAGGGGTGAGCATCGGGGCAATAACTTGACCTGTTCCCTCCTGCTTATCATTTTGGTTTTGCAACAAGTTTAGTCTTCACCAGCCTGGGAAACAAGAGTGTCTGTTCTGCTGGCAGGCGTGGCTTTCCCTGCCCTCCACACCGCTGCCACACCGCCAGGCTGTGCTCCTAGATAGGCTTTGACGTGGGGAAAAGAGCAGTCATTTACCAGGATTGCCCAAAGCTTCTGCTGCCAGACTTCACTGAGGGACACTCTGCACGTAGGGATTCTGAACACGCTCCAGGTACCCTCAAATCACTGTTTTGGTGCTTTGGATTGACCCAAGAATGTTAATTAACAAAACGTTGCACTTGCGCGTGCCCCTTCTAAAGATGTCACAGCCACAGACAAATCAGATCCGGGTGGCAGGTTTTATTGGGGTTCTGTAAGTCTTAGAAATCTCTTCAGTGAAGATTTTGGGGCAGCGGTGGCACAGCAGATTAAGGACCTTGACTGGCTTTGCATCCTGGCAAATCACTGCCTTTTCTGGTTTACTCTTCCGGACCACTAACTGCTGCAATGTGGATGCAAGCTTACAGGAAACCAACCTAGTGTGTCCTAAGTTTTATGAAAAATTCAGTGTTTGTGTAAAAAAAAAAAAAAAAAGAAAAGGAAAAAAAGAAAAGAGTAAAAATAAACACATTTTAAAGCAGCAGCTGTCAAGTCAATGAACAATTGATGTTTCCATTAACTTCTGAGGAAAATATTAGTTGTAAGGATTTAACATCCTCTGTACTGAAAGTTTAACATAACAGTATTCCATAAGCAGCCTTTTTATTGTATCAGACCATTGCCTGATTTTAATATAATAAAAAGTGTGCATTAATATTAGAAGGCTTTAATTGTATTTATGTTTAGAACTTGGATCCCTTATGGAATTCTTGATTTGTTGGAAGTATCTTCCTGCAGATCACGTTTAGCTGCCAGAATGTAAACTGGTGCTGAAAGGCAATTGTCTCTGTCCAGCTGCTGCTGCTGTGCCAAGGAGCATCTGTAGTTCTGGTTGGCTTGGTTGGAGCCTCGGGCTGCCCCAGCCTTGGCCGTTGGTAGCATCAGGTGAGGCCCAGGGGTCCCTGGATCCTGGTGGTGTCAGGGGGTGACAGGCAGAACTGCTGTGCTGCAGCCCCGAGGAAATGGACTCACCTACAGCTGCGTGTTACACTGCCTGGCAAGGTCAAGCTGCATTTCACAACCCGAAATTTTCAGTGTTTTCCTCAGATAGTGAAGAGTGTCTGCCTGCAGCATGCCCTGCAAGAAGCTGAGCTTTCCTCCCAGTCTGGTAAAAACAGGGCTGTGGAATGCTGGCCTTTTCCCAGTGGGAAGTGTCTCAGGTTGCTGGAAGGTCCTGCTGCATTCCCTGCAGTGATGGGCTGAACCGAGGTTCTCCCTGGGCTGGGAATGAAACAGGGCCTGGCCTTGTGATGCTTTGTGAAACCTGCTGCTGGTTCTGGGCTGGAGGGAACACTGCTGGCTCCTGGCACTAATACTGTGTGTGTGTTTATTTACAATGTGTCAGAGGTGGTAAGTGGGCATCGGAACAACGTGTTAATTACAGTGGGCTGCTTGATTGTCTCTTTTTCAGAGTGGCCATGCCCTCCTTGGGAGGTTGTGGTTGGTGCGTGTTTGGGACCTCCCTGAACCTTCTTACTTCAAGTAACGATTTTAAACCCGTGAAATGGTCTGGTTTGCTTTGCAAGCTGTACAGGTGAGAGCATCCCACCCTGGCTGGAGCTGTGCTGGCAGGAGCTGCCCGTTCACAGCCTCAGACAGAGCTGGTGCTGCTTTAAAGAGAAGGGCTGACTGTGCCTGTTCTCCCCAGGAGCTGCACTCTGCACACCTCAGAGCTCCGCTGCTGTTCCACAGCCAAGTAAGGGCGGTGTGGAGTAAAAACTGCCTGGGAGTCGGCTGCCATGGGACTGCCTGGTGCCTCTGTCAGCGTGTGTCACCTGCCAGGGGAAGGGCCCCTTCACCCCAGGCTGGTGCTTGTTGGTGCTTCAGGAATGAGCTGTGGAAGCAAAGCCGTGTCACACCTGTGCTTGTCCAAACTGGCAGCGCCCAGCAGGGTGCTCGGGTGATCCCTGCCAGCCCTCAGCCTGTGTCCTGAACCACTGTTCAGGGAAAGCTGGGGAGGGATAATAAATAAAATACGGGGATTGGCCGTGAAACAAATGTGCTTGGAGCAGCTGCTGCTGGAGGTGGCTGAGCTGTGCCCGGAGGAGGCTGCTCTGAGCCAGACCCGCCTGCCCTGTGCCCGCTGTGTGAGGGTCCCTGTGCCTGCAGAGGGTCCCTGTGCCTGCAGAGTGTCCCTGTGCCCTTAGGGGGTCCCTGTGCCCTATGGGGGTCCCTGTGCCTTTACAGGGTCCCTGTGCCCTATGGGGGTCCCTGTGCCCTTAGGGGGTCCCTGTGCCCTTACAGGGTCCCTGTGCCACGGCCCCGCAGCCCTCGCCGGCCGGGGCAGAGCAGGGACGGCAGAGGGAGCCCGAATCCTTCCCAAGGCTGCTCGGGTTCCGTCCGGGAACCTCGTGTTCCACCGGAGCCGCTTCCCCTGCAGCCGCTGTTTGGCTGTACAGCATTCCCTGCTGGGGCAGCACCAGGGAGACGGGATTGTGCACAAAGGCTGATGGCTGTCTGCTTCTCGGTGTGCTGGAATTGAGCTCTCTGTGTAGGGAGCGTGTGCTCAAATGTGCCCTTTCTGCTCTCGGACAGCCCCGTGCACTGCTTTCCGTTTGAAATTCCAGGTTCTCCCACTATCGTTATAGTAACAATTCTGAAGCCAGGCTGTGTCTTCAGCTGCTGTGTGAGACACCAGTGTTGTCTGTGGTCATCCCAGCGTGGCACCAGGGCACGGAGCAGGACAGGGAGCAGGACATGGAGCAGGACAGGGAGCAAGGCACAGAGCAGGGCACAGAGCAGGAGCAGCAGCCGTGCCCCCCGGCCCTGGGCAGACCCTGAGCAGGGGCAGACCCTGAGCCCCCAGGGCTGCAGGGTGGTGTGAGCAGAACAGCCCCAGCTGTGGCACCAAGCCCTGCAGGCCATGCAGGGGATGCACTCCTGCAGGTGCTCTGCAGAGCATTGCAGGGCTGTGGGAGCTCTTGGTGGCTTTCCTTGGTGCTGGTGGGAATTGGCCACTCAGCCCCTGAGGGGGGTGCTTTTCCCACAGGACAGTGTTTGCTGCACCACGGAACAGCCCGGTGGGTTCAGTGTGTTTTTAAAACTGGCACCGACATGCCCTGCAACAGGGCAGGTCCAGTTCTGCAGGTACCTGTAAATGTGTCTGCATCAGGCTCTACCTACCCTGAGCTGAAAGAAGCTAAAGAGAAATCAATGCTGATCATCTTAATAGCTGAACTTTTTTACTTATTATTTTAGGTTTAAGAAGGGTTTTCTGGTGGCTAAGGGTTTTCCTGTCGGTGGAATTCCATGTTGCATTAATCTTGGCTAACGTGCTCTCCCAGCACACTGACCTGGCTGCTGCCCGAGTTTCAGGTCCCTTAGCAGCTCCTCGTTCTCCCTGGCCCTGCTGGAGCACGTTGCTGGAGAATGTGCTGAAGCCTGCGAAGAGCCCCAGTAAAGGCAAATTTAATTTAGGCACATGCTTAAGTGCTTTGTTGGACCAGAGCCAGCGTGCTCAGCCCCTGCTAGGAAAGAGGCTTTTTCAGCCCTTGCTGAGCATCTTCTTCCTTGTCCTCCCTTCTTGGTGCTACCTCCCTGGTGCTTGTGCCTTCACATTTTCCCTGATGTTCCCAACAGAAAGAAGATGTAAAGAGCAGAAGATCTTGAGGATAGGGAGATAAGCTGAATGCTCATCATTTTATATCTCTCAAGCCTCTTGTCACCTTTTTTCATCCTTATCTCCTTTTCAATAAAGCCTACAAAGGGTTTTCAGAGATGTGGGTCCTGTCCTGTTTTTCTGCCTCTCCAGCCAGGTTGTTGCTGGCTCTGCCCTGACATGTCTAGGGAGCCCTGCAGAACCTTGATGGCTGAGAGGAGGGGAGGGTAAATGTCAAATGGTCCAAAAGTCGCTTCCCCCTCTCTGCTGCTCAGCATCTATTCTTTTGTCTTTTTATCCTTCCACTTGCCAAAGGATGTTTCAGGATAGCCAAAGCTGAAGATTCTTTGGGAGGAAAAAAACAACCAAGCAGGAGTTTGAGAAGAAAAGCGATGCAAACTTTGGAGCCATCTTCATCAGAAACAGTGGGGCCATTTCCCCTGCTTTAAAAGCATGCCTCGATCATCATCTGCAGAGCTTTAGAGAAAAGGGTTTCTGTTTGCCTGGTGCTGGAGACTTTCTGGGACTGATTTGCTGTGAGGCAGAGGAAGGACAAGGCGAGGGCTGGGGCAGAGAGGTGCAGAGATGCCTGGTTTGGGACGGGGCAGCACAGCCCCCCGCCCTCGGCAGTGCTCCTGGCAGGGGTGCCAGCCCTGTGCAGTCCCTGGCTGCCTGAGCTGGGGTCTGTACGTGTCAGAGCAGGAGCAGGAGTGAGGAACAGCCACGGCAGGACACAGTTCTCAGCAAGGAGCTGCCAAACTTCTGTCCCTCTGAAGAGACCTCTTAAATCCCTGGGCTACCAGATCAGATGCTGTCCAAGGTTAGCAGCCAGATGTTTCTCAGCTGTTTGGACTGGGTTCCAGCTGAGACCAAGCGAGTGGCTGTCCAGCATGTACGTATTAATATAAACATTTTGGAGGCCTTCCTCGTGAGCCATTAAAAGCTTCCCACGGTCCTGGGGCGGTGCAGGCTCCTGGAGAGCTGCAGTGTGTGCCTGCATGGCCAGGCTCAGCTGCCACCTGTGCCCCGTGCTGGGCTGGGCCTCCCTGCTCAGGGCACCAGGGCAGTGGGGGCCCTGCAGTGTGATTGTTTGTGCTAGCAGAAAATGCAGCCCAGGAGGCTGAGAGTGTTCCTTCCTTCCCTGCATGTCGTCATGCTTCCAGCACAGTCCCTGTCTGTGTCCCTTCCCCAGCCTTGCCCCAGAGCACAGCCAAAACCCTTCCAATGTCTCTTCCTGTGCAGGGGCACTGTCCACTCGTTTGAAGCTTGCTTTTGGTCTGTGCAGAGCTACAGGAGGAGAGGATTTCATTAACTCCACCATGCAGAGTCATGTTTTAAATTATTACATGCATTAAAAAAAAGAGTTATTTTTTGATGTGTGGTTCTTCTAAAATATTCCTAATGCCACCCATGAGCCTTGTGTGCAAACAAGAGTGACAAGAAATGACCTGTGGTCTCCCACTGCCACAAAACAAGACCCTTCTGACACTTTCCATCATTCTCATCAGATTTTGGTGCCTTGGCTCCCCCAGACCTGGCTGTGGAACTGCCGGGGTGTGGAGTGGGAATCTCCCAGTGATGTTTTTAATGAGATGATGGGCTCAGCTGGGCCCCAGCCCTGCTGCCATGTGCCTGGGCTCAGCTGTCCCACCCAGCGAGGCCTGGGGCTGGCACCTGGCTGCTGTCCTCCCACGGCACAGCCCCAGCTCTGCCTGGGGAGCAGCTGGGATTAATTCCACAGGGAATTACAGCTGGAATCCACAGCTCTCAGTGTTGTGTACATGACACCTCTGTGCTGCTGTGAACGAGAGCAGGATGCAGCCTCTCTGATTGCCTTTCAGTGATTTTTGGGAATGTCAGGTGCTTGAGATGCTCTGAAGGGAGCAGTGTGGTGCAGTGGATTTTCCCTGTCCGTGTTTGCAGCTCCCACAGTTCAGTCACCCCAAGAGCTCACATCCCTGGTGGGAGTGAACATGTGCCAGCACGGATCCCAGCCAGGGTCCAGGAGCCATCAGACCAGGGCTGGGTGTTGGATCTGCTCCTCTCCTCTCCTTGGCATCCC